ACACGAATTTTCTCGATCTTTCGTACGTTTCTTTTCACTGTTGGTGGTAATTCAAAAATCAATTCTCCAAAATTCATTTTTTATTTCTAGTCTGACGCGACACTTGAGGGCGTTTCGTAAAACTTATTACATTTTCAAAGACTTTAGCTTACACATACACAACTGAATAGAACTTACACATCTTCGATTTGTTTATATCTACATTTGAGTGAGGTGGATGGGGTGAGGTGGTATTAATAGGGTATTAAATTCCTAAACACAAGACAGAACACGAAACAATGGGTATTGAATGGAAGTGATTTGTAGAAAGCCTATTGGTCCATATTTCTTGATGCTTCTATATTGGAGCGGAGTCTTGAGGTGGGTAGAATATAGTTGTGCATTAATTGGCTGTTGATTGCTGGTGTTGACTTCTTGATGTGTAGAGCCTCGCAGACGTCAAGCCGCCTGCTATCGCTGTATCAATCGATGATTTCTGTGTTGTTTACTAGGATTTCTCTGGCGATGGTTTGGTTGTGGGAAGAGATTATATGTTCCTTAATGGAGCCCTGTTGCTTATGCATCGTTAAACGCCTAGAAAGAGATGTTGTTGTCTTGCCTATATACTGGGTTTTTTGGAGCTTACAGTCCCCAAGAGGGCATTTGAAGGCATAGACGATGTTGGTCTCTTTTAAAGCGTTCTACTTTGTGTCTGGAGAGTTTCTCATGAGTAGGCTGGCCATTTTTCTGGTTTTATAGTAAATCGTCAGTTGTATCTTCTGATTTTTGTCTGTAGGGATAACGTTTCTATTAACAATATCTTTCAGGACCCTTTCCTCCGTTTTATGAGCTGTGGAAAAGAAGTTCCTGTAAAATAGTCTAATAGGGGGTATAGGTGTTGTGTTAGTTGTCTCTTCAGAGGTTGCATGGCGTTTCACTTTCCTTCTTATGATGTCTTCGACGAAACCATTGGAGAAGCTGTTGTTGACTAGGACCTGCCTTACCCTACAGAGTTCTTCGTCGACTTGCTTCCATTCTGAGCTGTGGCTGAGAGCACCTGTGATGTCTCACTTGTTCCTGAAAATTGTATATACCAACATAGATGGAGTGAGGTCAAAAACTTTGGAGTTGCAAGATATAATCCAGCTTAGGGTCCCAGATATTGTTGCATTATCAGAAACGAAACTTGAAAGAAATATAATAAATGAAGTCATATTCCCAAGAGGCTACTCAGTTTGGAGACGTGACAGGAAAACTAGGAAGGGAGGAGTGGCTGTACTGGTGAAAAAACACCTGAAGGTAAAAAGAGTTAATATTTGAAAACCCTCGAGATATTGACATAATGGCATTGCAGGTCTGGAATCAGGATGATAACCTGATAATTGTAAATACCTACAGCCCACCAGCAAGCAACACGTGGACAAAGGAAGAACTGGATGACAAACGAGAGGGCCTCATAATGGTCATGAGAGATATTATTGTACAAGCAGATAAAGATAAATCACGACTGTTGATACTGGGGGACTTCAACTTTAGAGCAATAGACTGGGAGGCCTATGAAGCAAGAACGGAGGACTTTTGGACATGCAGATTTGTGAACCTCATTCTGGAGACATTCTTGTATCAACACATAAAGCAAGCCACAAGAATGAGGGAAGGAGATATACCGTCAGTACTGGATCTAGTATTCACCAGGAAAGAAGAAGAGATTTTTGACATCCAGTACCTTCCTCCCTTGGGAAAGAGTGATCACGTCCTGTTAGACATTAAATATGCTTTAAGATATCATCTAGAAGAAAATGGGGACATTGAAACAGTTGATAAACTCGATTTAAAGAGAGGCAACTATGGGGAACTTCGAAATTTTTTTAATGAGTGTAATTGGACAGAATTGTTGCTAGGCAGGGAAGTAAATGAAATGTATGCCAAATTTTTAAAACTATACAAGGAAGGCACACAAACATTCATACCAAAACAGAGATGCAGGACCAGAAAACAGGATTGGTTCGACAGAAATTGTGAGAGGGCAAGAGACCAAAAGACACAAAAATGGAATCAGTATAGGAAGAGGCCAAACCCCCAAACATACCAGCGATACAAAGATGCGAGAAACAATTATACAGCAGTAAGGAGAGAGGCAGAAAGAAATTTTGAAAAAGGGATAGCAGATAAATGTAAAACAGAACCGGGCCTATTCTACAAATTCATAAACAACAAATTGCAGGTAAAGGATAATATCCAGAGGTTGGAAATGGGAAACAGATTCACGGAAAATGAAAAGGAAATGTGTGAAACATTAAATGAAAAGTTCCAAAGTGTGTTTGTACAAAATGAAATCTTCAGAGAACCAGACACAATAAGAATTCCAGAGAACAACATAGAGCGGATAGAGGTGTCTAGAGATGAAGTGGAAAATATGCTAAAGGAGCTCGGGAGGAACAAAGCAGCTGGCCCAGATGGCGTTTCACCATGGGTTCTGAGAGAATGTGCATCTGAGCTCAGCATTCCACTTCACCTGATCTTTCAGGCATCCCTGTGTACAGGAATCGTAGCAGACGTGTGGAAACAGGCTAACATAGTTCCAATCTACAAAAGTGGCAGCAGGGAAGACCCCCTCAATTATAGACCTGTATCATTGACAAGTGTAATAGTGAAAGTATTGGAAAAGCTAATCAAAACTAAATGGGTAGAACACCTGGAGAGAAATGATATAATATCAGACAGACAGTATGGTTTTCGATCAGGAAGATCCTGTGTATCGAATTTACTCAGTTTCTATGATCGGGCCACAGAGATATTACAGGAAAGAGATGGCTGGGTTGACTGCATCTATCTGGACCTAAAAAAGGCTTTCGACAGAGTTCCACATAAGAGGTTGTTCTGGAAACTGGAAAATATTGGAGGGGTGACAGGTAAGCTTCTATCATGGATGAAAAATTTTCTGACTGATAGAAAAATGAGGGCAGTAATCAGAGGCAATGTATCGGAATGGAGAAATGTCACAAGTGGAGTACCACAGGGTTCAGTTCTTGCACCAGTGATGTTTATTGTGTACATAAATGATCTACCAGTTGGTATACAGAATTATATGAACATGTTTGCTGATGATGCTAAGATAATAGGAAGGATAAGAAATTTAGATGATTGTCATGCCCTTCAAGAAGACCTGGACAAAATAAGTATATGGAGCACCACTTGGCAAATGGAATTTAATGTTAATAAATGTCATGTTATGGAATGTGGAATAGGAGAACATAGACCCCACACAACCTATATATTATGTGAGAAATCTTTAAAGAATTCTGATAAAGAAAGAGATCTAGGAGTGGTTCTAGATAGAAAACTATCACCTGAGGACCACATTAAGAATATTGTGCAAGGAGCCTATGCAATGCTTTCTAACTTCAGAATTGCATTTAAATACATGGATGGCGATATACTAAAGAAATTGTTCATGACTTTTGTTAGGCCAAAGCTAGAATATGCAGCTGTTGTGTGGTGCCCATATCTTAAGAAGCACATCAACAAACTGGAAAAGGTGCAAAGACATGCTACTAAGTGGCTCCCAGAACTGAAGGGCAAGAGCTACGAGGAGAGGTTAGAAGCATTAAATATGCCAAAACTAGAAGACAGAAGAAAAAGAGGTGATATGATCACTACGTACAAAATAGTAACAGGAATTGATAAAATCGACAGGGAAGACTTCCTGAGACCTGGAACTTCAAGAACAAGAGGCCATAGATTTAAACTAGCTAAACACAGATGCCGAAGAAATATAAGAAAATTCACCTTCGCAAATAGAGTGGTAGACGGTTGGAACAAGTTAAGTGAGAAGGTGGTGGAGGCCAAGACCGTCAGTAGTTTCAAAGCGTTATATGACAAAGAGTGCTGGGAAGACGGGACACCACGAGCGTAGCTCTCATCCTGTAACTACACTTAGGTAATTACTTGCTGTAACCCCCCACCTGTGATGTCTCACTTGCTGTAACCCCCCACCTGTGATGTCTCACTTGCTGTAACCCCCCACCTGTGATGTCTCACTTGCTGTAACCCCCCACCTGTGATGTCTCACTTGCTGTAACCCCCCACCTGTGATGTCTCACTTGCTGTAACCCCCCACCACCTGTAATGTCTCACCTGCTGTACCCTTGCTGTATGGTATATCCCAGTAGGTAAAGCTCTGAACAAGTCTTGCATGAAGTAATGTTGTGTGTAATGTTAAGCATTAGTTTGTGCTGTTGACAACTGTGCACCAAATCTGCTAATTATCAAGGTATATCAAGTACAGATAATGTAACATGTATCAGGTTAAAAGTTGATAAAATATAATATATATATATATATATATATATATATATATATATATATATATATATATATATATATATATATATATATATATATATATATATATATATATATATATATATATATATATACATATATATATACATATACATATACATATATATATATATATATATATATATATATATATATATATATATATATATATATATATATATATATATACAGCAAGGGTACAGCAGGTGAGACATTACAGGTGGGGGTACAGCAAGTGAGACATCACAGGTGGGGGTACAGCAAGTGAGACATCACAGGTGGGGGTACAGCAAGTGAGACATCACAGGTGGGGATACAGCAAGTGAGACATCACAGGTGGGGATACAGCAAGTGAGACATCACAGGTGGGGGTACAGCAAGTGAGACATCACAGGTGGGGGTACAGCAAGTGAGACATCACAGGTGGGGATACAGCAAGTGAGACATCACAGGTGGGGGTACAGCAAGTGAGACATCACAGGTGGGGGTACAGCAAGTGAGACATCACAGGTGGGGATACAGCAAGTGAGACATCACAGGTGGGGATACAGCAAGTGAGACATCACAGGTGGGGGTACAGCAAGTGAGACATCAGAGAAGAGAGGATGGCAGGGAGCTTTTCAACATTTTTCTCTTGCTATAGTTTTTACGCTTAACAAATTGTTTGTACCTGACAGTATGTGATGTGACAAATTTAAGTGCTGGGTCAAGAAGCTCGGCGTTGGTGGTAGCTCGAGACGTTGATGGCCAGCCGATAACTCATGGCGGAGAAGAAATATCTGCAAGTGTACTAACAAAAGATGGAGCAACTTTGTAAGTTTGAATTGTTGATGTTTTCTAGCAATTACTAGCAATGCAAAGTTCGTTAATGTATAATTGGTGTATTATTCACTTAATATGTAAATGCCTTCACTTGTCTTTGATTAATTTTGTGTAATGTGTAAATTTAGTTTTTTACTGTGAATTTTGTTATACTGTACCAGAGAGGAAGATGTTCACAGTTATTTTTATAGTGTACCTGGCAGTGAAGAAGTCAGTCTCCCCATCCCAGAGGATTGTCAAATGCATCTTGGGTAGGACTGCACTTGCAGCATGAGCTGATAAAAAGGCAGGTAAAGAATCCAATCCTTTCATCAGGGCCAACCTGGCCATAAGCCTAGAAAATATCTAATATGATAGAAACTGGGCCCTATTCACCAGACATGAGCAATCTTTGTAAGAAGCTGCAACAAGATGCTGCCACGAATAGGAAACCTTGATGTGGACTCTCAGGAAATCACTTTCTGTGGTAACACTAGCATCTAGTGTCTTGTGGATGATCAAAATGCTACCACACTAGAGCCACTAGGGATGGGAAAACCTACTTCTAGTCAAGCACCTGGAACCAGCAGGACAGTGTTCATTTCCACGGAGATTAATGGTCTGGCTTCAAGCTAGAAAGAATTGAAAACGTGATACTGAGGTCATGCAGTGGAAGCAGCAGCAAATTCAAGAAGAACTGGGTCCAGTTCTGACATATTTTTCATTCTGTTATAGGAACACTAAATCTCACTAAGGTAATAGGAAGAACATTGATAGAACAAGATAGAACTAACCGCTCAGACCCCAGCAGATGATGGGCTACTTCACCACTTTCCCCAAATGGAGTTGGGGAGGCAGGGCAACCTAGCTCGCGCTAGTTTTGAGAGAATCCAATCCTTTGTTCACATATTTGGGGAGTTCATTAACTGGGTCAAGGCTTCAGTCTCTTTTGAATCCAGCAGTAGTTTGTTTTAACTTCCTGACTTTCTGGTTAACTTCTCCGTTGAGGTGGCAAAATGTCATTGCTTCCTGTGCCTCTTTAGGGAGCGCCTAGGTTCTGACTTTGATCCCCAGTAGGACTATAGAACTCCATGGCTAATGCAATCTAGTAGATGGGAACCATCTCAGTGTATAACTTCAAGGAGCCACAAGGGGCTCTTCCCAGAAATGCAGCAACATCTTCCTGTGATCTCTAGCAGAGTAAGAGCCAGATGTCCACCACACTGAGGGCACATTACAAACTTTCCAAGACCTGCCTGCTCCCAGCAGGCAGGTCTAACAGGCAAACTAACAAAACAAAACTGCCAGAGAAATATAAAAAAATTCATTTTTATAAACAGAGTGGTAGACGGTTGGAACAAGTTAGGTGAGAAGGTGGTGGAGGCCAAAACCGTAAGTAATTTCAAAGCGTTATATGACAGAGTGCTGAGGAGACGGGACGCCATGAGCATAGCTCTAATCCTTTAACTACACTTACGTAATTACTTAGGTAATTACCGGCGCCCCTGGTGCTGCACTTGGTAGTCGTGGCACCACATAGTGGTACACTTCTTATCTTCCAACCTTTTGGTGTCCATACAAAGAAAACTGCTTCACTGACGCACCTTCCTCTTGCCGGTGGGTGGAATGTCTCTATGGTTTTAGCATGTCCCACTCTCCATGGTGGTTGTATCCACACAGTTGCAATATTTACCTGTCAAGCAATAAGCCATCAAAGACCTGGTTATCTATACTGTAGTTGTTTCCAAGAGTTCTTGTACTTCCCAAGCCTGGCTTTTGTGTCGACCTTAGTTGGGTGTAATTCTACCCATTCTCCTGTTTAGATAGTAGTTTTTGTAACTATGTGCACCATAGTACAAAGATTCTAAGCAATTAAATAGTAGAACTTTGTACTATTTACTTTACAGTCGGAAAAAATAAAGCTAAAAACAAACTTAAATATTCCAAGGCCTAGTATAGCACACATATACTGTATACTATTTTAGGCCTCATAAGTAGAAAATAGTTTTCCGGTTTGTCGAACTCAGTAGTGGCAACTTGTACTTTCTAATTTTGTTGTATGTCGGTATATATTCAATACAGTACTATGATCCTCATCATTAATATAAGTACTACCAAAACCGGTGGATCGGGCTGGTATAACTATACTTCATGTGACAACTGTTTAAATGCCTCTATTTGAAAGTATTTACTAGCACCAGTCAAAATGTGCACTAATCTTCAGGATAGCATTTACGAGCTACAATCGGTTACCTTACCCTGCATTACCTTGCGATGATTTCGGACTCAACGTGTACACGGCCAGGTCCTCGACCAGACCTCCTGGTTGCTGGACTGATCAACCAGGGGAACCACTGGCTCCCCTGGTTTGGAAACTATGTGATTAATCATCTTGTAACTTTTTTTTCAACAAGTATTTAATTGTATAATGCTTCCTTAGAAATGTCCTTAATCAGTACTGTATTGTATTATAATGTGCATAATTTTGTATTCATAACATAAGGTCGTAAAACAAATCAAATGCAATTAATTTAAAAAAATCAGTGTTACTTTGTAAGTACTGTACAATACTTTATAGAATATTTTTAATGCATTTTAAGTTTATGTATAAATTTAGCCATAATTATAAATATTTTTGCAGGTGTGGTTGCTCAGTTAGAGATCGTGAGGACGGGTCGTACGAAGTCATATTTATTGCTCCTGTGCCGGCAGCAGCAGTGTTGCATGTTACCATTCAAGGTGTTCATGTTCAGGTCAGTCTCCATCTCAGAAGTCACCAGCCTCCTCCTGGTGACTCCCTCCCCATCCCCCCCCCCCATCCCCTCTCTCTCTTTCTCTTTCTCTTTCTTCTCTCTCTCTCTCTCTCTCTCTCTCTCTCTCTCTCTCTCTCTCTCTCTCTCTCTCTCTCTCTCTCTCTCTCTCTCTCTCTCTCTTTCTTTCTTTTTTTTTTTACACACATACATACATACTGTACATAATAAGGGCCTTGCATAATAAGCTGAGAAGTGTGTTCTGGCTACTAGGTATGACATATATATATATATATATATATATATATATATATATATATATATATATATATATATATATATATATATATATATATATATATATATATATGTATATATATATATATATATATATATATTAGTATATTTTGGTAGCAGTCTTTCCTGTAGACATATATTATTAAATATGACCGAAAAAGTATGATTAATAATTCTAACACAAATTTTCTCAATATTTCTTATGGTTCTTTTCACTGTTGATGGTAATTGAAAAATCAGTTCTCCAAAATTAATTTTTATTTCTAGTCTGACGCGACACTTGAACGCGTTTCGTAATGACTTATTACATTTTCAAAGACTTTAGTTTACACACACACACACAACTATAACCTGCAAACACTAAACAGAGTTTAAACAGCTTTGATTTTATACCTGCATTTGGGTGAGGTGATATGTTACAACAGTTTTGGATGAGGTGAAAACAAACTTTCAACACAAGACAGAACACAAAAACAGTGGGTATAATATTTTGTAAGTTAAAGGGAAGAATGGAAGTACTGTAACTGCAAAGGGCCTAATGGCCCATATTTCTTGATGCTTCTATATTGGTGCGGAGTCTTGAAATGGGTAGAATATAGTTGTGCATTAATTGGCTGTTGATTGCTGGTGTTGACTTCTTAATGTGTAGTGCCTCGCAGATATCAAGCCGCCTGCTATCGCTGTATCTATCGATGATTTCCGTGTTTTTTGTTAAGACTTCTCTGGTGATGGTCTGGTTGTGGGAAGAGATTATATGTTCCTTAATGGAGCCCTGTTGCTTATGCATCATTAATCACCTGGAAAGAGATGTTGTTGTCTTGCCTATATACTGAATTCTTTGAGGCTTACAGTCCCCAAGTGGGCATTTGAAGGCATAGACAACATTGGTCTCTTTTAACCCTTGCACTGCTCACCTATTTTCGGCAAAAACGTCTTGGTGCAATTGTCAAGGACATATTTTTGTTATTTTTACAAATGTTCGGGTAGATTTAATGTCAAAATGTTTCCAAAGTCAACTATTTCCATTTCAAAACACAAATAGTAATGAAAACATTAAAATATAGCCAAATTAAAAAACAAAAAGCACAACTCTCTGAGCGCCTAAAGGCGCTTTGCGCAGTGCAGTGGTTAAAGCGTTCTGCTTTGTGTCTGGAGAGTTTCTCATGAGTAGGTTGGCCGTTTTCTTGGTTTTATAGTAAATCGTCAATTGTATCTTCTGATTTTTGTCTGTAGGGATAACGTTTCTATTAACAATATCTTTCAGGACCCTTTCCTCCATTTTATGAGCTGTGAAAAAGAAGTTCCTGTAAAATAGTCTAATAGGGGGTACAGGTGTTGTGTTAGTTGTCTCTTCAGAGGTTGCATGGCGTTTCACCTTCCTTCTTATGATGTCTTCAACGAAACCATTGGAGAAGCCGTTGTTGACTAGAACCTGCCTTACCCTACAGAGTTCTTCATCGACTTGCTTCCATCCTGAGCTGTGGCTGAGAGCACGTTCGACATAAGTGTTAACGACACTCCTCTTGTACCTGTCTGGGCAGTCACTGTTGGCATTGAGGCACATTCCTATGTTTGTTTCCTTAGTGTAGACTGCAGTGTGGAAACCTCCGCTCCTTTCCATGACTGTTACATCTAGAAAGGGCAGCTTCCCATCCTTCTCCATCTCGTAAGTGAAACGCAACACAGAATTCCGCTCAGATGCCTCCTTCAGCTCCTGCAGATATCTGACATCAGGTACCTGTGTAAAAATGTCGTCAACATACCTGCATTATAGAACCATAAGAAATATTGAGAAAATTCGTGTTAGAATTATTAATCTTACTTTTTCGGTCATATTTAATAATATATTATATACAAAGCAAGGACAGAGAACATCTGGACTAGCCAACTCATAAACCTCATCTTGAAGTCTTTCATATATTAAAATATTAAAGAAGTTATGACAATTAGAGAAGGGGATGCACTTTCATTGCTGAATTTTGTTTGTGCCAGGAAAGAAAAAGCTATTTTTGATAATGAGTACCCTAACCTAACCTTCCTCCATTGGGCAAGAGTGACCATGTCATTTTCGAAATAAAATATGCCATGTGTTATAATCAAGAAGAGAATAGAGAAAGTGAAATTAGTGGAAAACTAGCCTAGAAATTAATTTGTCCCTGTTTAAGTATGACTGCTGGGGAAACTTACCTCAGCACATTGATGTGTAGTTCCTGTGAAACCCAGTGCACCCCACCAGCCAAGACTCTTCAGCTGGGGGAAAATGGAAGCTAAAAATAAATGCAAAGGCCACCACAAGCGAGGTGGACCTCTAAAGGAGTATTACGTAGATACTCCAGGAAAAAAACTCTGGCAGTGCAAAGGAAACACTAGGGAATACCCAGGGAGGTGTACCCACCCTGAATACACACACAGCTCCTAGTGTACTAAATTCCTGGCCCCACACACAAACGTGCAAGGAACAACCATCAAGGCAGTAGAAAACCCAAGAAAAAACACTGGAGCCAGAGCAACAGTGGCAGCACCAGCATTGCTAAACCTCAGTGGAGAGGCCTGAGAGCCATAGCCTGCTTCCCCCCCCCCCCTCATCCTCCCAAACAAAGGGTGTGTGGAGTGAACGAGCGGGCGAGTTTTATAACATTTTTCATCATTTATTTACATAATTTGGGGAATTCTATGGGCATTTTTGAGTCTTGGAGGCGGCCAGCTGTGGTTTGTTTTGACTTGCTGACTTTCTGAATTTCTTTCTCTCATTGGTGGCATAAATGAATGACTTAATACATTATATGTAGGTTTCTTATATTACAAACCACAATGTAGGACAGAAAACAGGAGATGTTTTTTCACCCATAGAAACTGTCTACCCACCAAAGCCGTAAACGTCAAAACTCTGCATTGGGTTTCAAAATATAGCTGGAAAATATAATCAGGGCAAATGGGGGGACATTTGACAAGCCACCAGCTTCCTGTCCTTATTGAAACCACTAGTATTAGTGGCCCTCAGGTAACTTCAGGTAAATATAAATGCCACGGCTCTCTTGCCTCTGTGAGGGGGGCCAGGTTCTGGCTCTGGGTCCCTGGTAGGCAGAAAACTCCACAACTGATGACACCTACATTGGAGATGGTAGCTTCAGGGAGCCACCGGAGCTCGCCCAGAAATTTCATTTCATTACATTTAATGAAAGATTTTCCTTCACACACTCATTTTGGGAATTATAATTCCTAATTACAGTACCTGTAAAGTGTATGCTTTTCCAGTCCTGCCATTAGTAGGATTAGCAGATCCATGCCATCCAGTAGCATGGATATACTATTAATTAGCAGACCTATCTAATTTGATTACTGCTTCTATTAATTTCCTCAAGATATACATGACTCATTTATTTGGGAAACATGACACAGTTTACTGAGCATAGATAGTAATGTGCACTATTAGTTGTAGCAATTAGTGTTGCTGATGTTGATGTATCTAGTATGATGCTTTACGTACTTTATTCACCCATACAAAAACATAGATAGGAAAAAAGGAAATTCCACACATACTAACTATATTACTGTCGAGACACAAATTAAAAGGAATTTTTTTCCATAGGGAAGTCCTCTGGAACTAACAATTACATCAGCAGCTGCAGGCACGAGCAGCACTAGCGGTGGGGACAGTATCAGGGATGCCAGCCAAGCCATGACTGGTCGACGGCACACTGGTGTCTTCCACTGCTGCACCTTCTGTTCCAGTGGTGGCGATAAGACTGCCTCCTGTGCATGTGGGGCCACCATGCCAGGTTGGCTATTTTTCTCATTTCTAGTTACTGTAATTAATACAAACACATTTCCAGTTACATTTTCCTTAACTGTTAATAATCATTAGACAGGTCAGCACTTACATTTATACTGGAGTGGGGGGGGGGGTGAAGGTTCCAGGCATTACCCAGGTCTGTCTGTCTCCCATCTACCCATCCATTCATCTATATATAAATATATATATATATATATATGTCGTACCTAGTAGCCAGAACGCACTTTTTGTCCTATTATGCAAGGCCCGATTTGCCTAATAAGCCAAGTTTTCCTGAATTAATATATTTTCTCTAATTTTTTTCTTATGAAATGATAAAGCTACCCATTTCATTATGTATGAGGTAAAAATTTTTTTATTGGAGTTAAAATTAACGTAGATATATGACCAAACCTAACCAACCCTACCTAACCTAACCTAACCTATCTTTATAGGTTAGGTTAGGTTAGGTAGCGGAAAAAGTTAGGTTAGGTTAGGTTAGGTAGGTTAGGTTGCCAAAAAACAATTAATTCATGAAAACTTGGCTTATTAGGCAAATCAGGCCTTGCATAGTAGGGTGAGAAGTGCGTTCTGGCTACTAGGTACGACATATATATATATATATATATATATATATATATATATATATATATATATATATATATATATATATATATATCCTTGTCCTTCCCCTTCTGTGGTTCGTTTGGTTGTTCCCCCCTTGCTTCCGGCTCCGAAACGTCTGAGGGTTTCGGAGTCGGGGCAGAGTCTCGTTGGTGTTGAGACTCGGGCGGTCTCGGAGAAGTCCCCTTCCGAGGGGGGGGGGAGGCATTCGAGCCTCGAGCCGTGGCATCTGGGTCTGACCAGTGGGCTCCCTTCATTCCTGCCTTTTCAGCTGCTTCTGCTTTTTCTTTAGAAGCGGGGGTTTTGGAGGACGGCTCGGCCCTGGAACCTAGTGGTGCGGTTCCTGGGGAGAGGGAGGGGTTGACTTGGATGCCTTGGGGCCTGTTGGACCCTGCCTGGGTTTTTGTTCCCTCGGGGCAGGGCTTAGTGTTACATGGAGAGGGGTTCTCTTATGTTTCCTCCTCATACAAATTGGACTTAGCGTCTACCCCTCCCCAGGTTCGGTTCCATGATCCTGTGGGTTCCTTGGGGCCTGTCCTTCCGGTGGTTTTCAGCTTCCTGCATCCCTTCTCATGTGGTGCGGGAAGCCTTTGCGGCTTACCTCCTGCGTGACCTAGATTATGCATTCGTGATGGATCCACATTCCTTCGTGTATGGATCTTCGTGTCCGTACTGGGTTCGTTACAAGGTTCCAGAGTTGTCCAGGTTGGCAGACTGCCCACTCTTTTCATTGGAAGCTTGGCACACACACACAATTGGCCATGTCTTACAGAGTATATATATACTCTATAAGACATGGCCAATTGTCTAATGCTTTGTTCGTTCATTTGTCACAAGATACTCACCAAATTGATATATATATATATATACTCTGTAAGACATGGCCAATTGTCTAATGCTTTGTTCGTTCATTTGTCAGAAGATACTCACCAAATTGATATATATATATACTCTGTAAGACATGGCCAATTGTCTAATGCTTTGTTCGTTCATTTGTCAGAAGATGCTCACCAAATTGATTGGGAGATGGCTTCTTCAATAATGAATTGTAAAAGCACCTATAACAGAACGCTTTGATACAGATCACAAAAGAAAGTAATTTGAAAATTAGCAGTGGTTTATATAACTTAGATCCATTTTTAATAGATCAATTAAAGGGCGATTTGAGTAGGATCATTGGAACACATTTGTCTCACTAATTCATTGTAAATATTTACTATCTTATTCTATGATTATCCCTGTGTGTGGTTATGAATGGGCATTGCATCGGATGGGCCAATAGGCCCTCTGCAGTTTTGTGCGGCTCATATTTGTGTCCACTTATTGCACCTCACCTCACTCCACCATTCTCTCCTGCCTATTTATGTCCAGTACTCGACCTGTAAAACCACTCCTTCTGAAGATGTATTAATATACGAAAGTACTTTAGGAAATTCCTGTTTCAATTTTCCTCCATGGTCTGACACTGTCATTCACATTTATATATATATATATATATATATATATATATATATATATATATATATATATATATATATATATATATATATATATATATATAATATAATATAATATAATATAATAAATATTATATTGGGGAGGTTGCCCCTCTGTGCCCAAGTCTCCCTCCCACTTCCTTCCCCACTCCTCCAACACCCCCCTCCCCCCCTTTTCATCATCTCTTTCCCATCTCACTCTCCCTCCAGGGAGCCAGTCGGCCGAGTGGACAGCACACTGGACTTGTGATCCTGTGGTCCCGGGTTCGATCCCGGGCGCCGGCAAGAAACAATGGGCAGAGTTTTTTTCACCCTATGCCCCTGTTACTTAGCAGTAAATAGGTACTTGGGTGTTAGTCAGCTGTCACGGGCTGCTTCCTGGGGGTGGAGGCCTGGTCGAGGACCGGGCCGGGGGGACACTAAAAAGCACCGAAATCATCTCAAGATAACCCCAAATGTCCTCCCTCTCTCCTTCCTCTCCACACTCATATCGCCCCCTTCTTTGCTAATATAGGTACAGAGGAACCTCAGTACTCAAGCAATTCAGCACTCAAACACTGTGTTTGCTCTCAAATACTGTTGTTAGTACTGAGGTACTGAGCAGTAGCTCAGCACTCAAATGTAAACACACACATAATGGATGAGTCAATTTCCCAGTAGCTGTCATTCAGTGCACACCTTATTAAACATCTTCTCATTCCACTAGTCTAATTAAGTGTTTTTTCTAGGAGGATACCAAGGATGTGGCCACAACCATACTGGACACCCTGGACAGAAACACTGGTCGTGTTGTGGCCAGACCAGCCCATCGGGTCCTTGTACCAGACCTCCTTCGCAGTATTATCAGGTCACACTCTGAAGGTGCACCCAACATAACTGCCTGACAGTATTACTACCAAACCTGCTATCTAGTCTTACCAACCTAACTCCATATTTCCTACATAATGGAATGGAGCAGGTGCAGTCATTCAAGAGGCTTTCAAGCACCTATGCATACTTTTAAGTGCCAGCGACTTAAACAAATGGCAGCTCAATGCAGACACCATCAAGATTCCACTACACACATGCCACAGAGCTCCACATATAGCCTCCAAGAAATCTAAAATACCCCTGGGGAGAGGAGTTAATATAAGAGATTCTATGACTGGATTACAAAGGGAAGCCCATCATTCACTGTAATTACATAATGTAAAAATTTTTGTTCCTGGGTAGTCTCCAAAATATAGGAAATGGCTATTGTTCCCGCTCGAATTTTGCTTTTGCCTTTGCCTCAGATAATTTAGGGAAGATGTCATGATGCAACCTGTCCTCATACTAGGCTGTATAAGGCAGTGACTGTCCTCCCTAGACGCATTCATCAAGTTTAACATACTGTAATGTGTATTAAAAATTGGTTTGTTATCCTATATAAATTAATATTATTAAGACATAAAAATTCTATGTATAGCTAGGCATAGGTTAGATTAGGTGTTTAGGTTCTAATAGTGATTATTTGTATTTGATGTATGTGGTTAAAGCATTTAAAGAATTGTAGTTCAAACGGAGGATGTGAGCAGAGCACTTGTTTCGGAAGTGTTTGGATGTCAGCCATTGTGAGTTGTTTGTAAACCGCATTGCATTCATAAACGGGGTTTGGCAGCTGGTTTAACGAACTTGGATCTTTGTATGCGAGGACAAGCTGCGTGATGGTATACTTGAAGGCTGCCGACCCCTTATCTAAAGCTGTGACACAATATTTCATAAGTCAGCAGCCTTCAGATGCCAACTTCAAGACATCTTCCCAAAACTACCTGAGGCAAAGATCAAAGTAAATTTTATTAGGGGGGAAGGGATAATAGTAGTCATTTTCTATACTTTGGAAGCAGAGACTAGAGATGTTAAATATGGCAAAACTAAAAGACACAAGAGGTAATGTGATCACTACATACAAAATAGTAACAGGATTTGACAAAATTGACAAAGAGGACTTCTTCAAACCTGCAACTTCAAAAAGAGTCATAGTCATAGATTCAAGCTAAGGAAACAAAGGGGGGCCCAAAAATATATTAGAAAGTTCTCATTTTGCAAACAAATGGTTAGGGGCCACAACCGTCTGTAGTTTCAAAGCGTTATATGACAGCCTACTGAGCAAGTACTCTTGGGCAAGTTAATGAGAGAAAGAACTGAAGAGGATTGTAGGGTACTGCAAGAACTTAAACTGCATGAGTGGGCAGATTCAAGGTGAACTGCTGGAATTCAATCCAAATACTGTAAGTGCAAAGTAATGAAAGTAGATATGGGAGATAGGAGACACATATTCAACTATATCATAAGGGGGAAGACAATTACAAGAAACAAAAAGAGAATATACTGTGCTGGTGAAAGAACACCTGAAGGTAAGAGAATTAATAATTGATAACCCACAAGAAGTGGACATAATGGCTCTTAAGATTTGTAATGAGGATGATAATTATGAATGCCTACAGTCCACCAGCAAGCAACTCATGGACAGAGGAGCTGGATGACAAACGAGAGGGCCACATAATGATAATAAGAGAGATTGCAGTAAGAGCAGAGAAAGATAAATCATGATTGTTGCTTCTTGGTGACTTCAAAATGAAATCAATAGACTGGGACGCCTATGAAGCAAGAATGAATGACATTTGGAGTGGCAGATTTGTGAACCTCATCTTAAAGACATTTATGTACTAACGTGCTAAACAAGCCACAAGAATGAAGGAAGGGGATGTTCCATTGATGCTAGATTTGATATTCACCAGGAAAGAAGAGATATTTGATATTCAATACCTTTCTTCCTTGAGTAAAAATGACCATATCCTTCTGGAAGCAAAATATGCAGTGCGTTATAATCTAGAAAAGAATGAGGAAAAAGCAGTTGAAATGCTTTATTTCAGGAGAGAACATTATAGGGGAACTTAGCAAGTATTTTAAAGAATTTGATTGGAAAGATTCCATTCACCTGGGCTGTATGGGCCTCAAACCATGGACCCCACGCGTGTGAGGCCGACGCACTATCGACTGTGCTATGAGTAGTCTTAAAAAGGAAAGTTTCTAGAAGTAACATCCTGCTGCATAATGGAAGTTTTTACTTTCCCTGACTACTACTGAAGCACAGAAGAATTACTAACCCACGTCAGAGGAATTACTGACTCACGTCATATAAATTGTCATCCACACTCCGTGGAAAATAAAAGTACCATTCACCATTTTGGTGAATGGAATGTTTCAAAAAATTCAAAAATTCAAGATGAAATGTTTCAAAAAATTCCAGCTTGGCAGTAGGATGCTGCTTCTGAAAACTTTCCTTTTAAAAAGGAAAGTTTTAAAGCAACTTCATACAATGCAGTGAAGAAGACCACAGGTGAGACACCATCAAAGAAGCCACCTGAATCTCATACAAATGAGGAAACGATACACACACATCGGAAAAACTGATGGTATGTCGAACCAGCAAGGTATCTCATCGGCCTGACCTGCCGAAACAGGCGGCGCCATGGAAAAATGCCTGGGTTTGGACATCGAGCATGTAGCACTTGAAACCAAGGCTTGGCCGGCCACCATAGAACCATGAGAAACACACTCTCCCGATAGGATTCCAGCTGAGCTAGAGCTCGGAGCAACAGCCGGACCAGGGGGAAAAGAAGTACAGGAATCCCCACCTCGACCAATCATGCCGAAAAGTATCGACCAGCATCCACCGCGAGCCTCACAGGCAGAGAACACTGCCACGTACAATGGGAGACGCCAAGACCAGACCGACACGAAAAGGTTCACCTTCGGGCAACAGTATGTCCAGGAAATACCAAAGGAGGGAATCGGCAATGACTGTCCACTCCGTCTACCCAAAGCAACCAGCCCTAAAAGGCCACGGAACGAAGAGACACCCCCCTCCCCCACTTGGTGGAAAATTGGAACCAATGGGGAGCAGTCCAAATGGAGCCAGAACATCAAGCCCCAAGAAAGCCAAATCTGCCGCAGCACCTGCCACACCACCTCAACTCGCACACCGTGCTGTGAGCCCAACACGAGGAGAGTCGACAATGCCCCAGGCCGGACTAGTGAGGACTGGTCACAAAGCCTTGACTGAGACACGAGGCATCCGGACACACCAAGCGAGGGAAGAGAAAGACACCATGGGACCAAACCCCCTAAAACCCCGAAGAGGAAGCTGGTGATGCAGCAACCAGTACAAGGACACCGGGGAACGAATCCAGCGAATGTGAGAGCGGTGAAAGAGGCTGCTCTAAAGATACCAGAACAGCCTCCAAAGCCAAACTCTGCCCAATAGAAAACTAGCAGAACAAAGTTCAGGCACCCGCACAGCTGCACGAGCAACTGCAGAGTGACCTGTGTGCCCCTCAAAAACAGCTGAAGGCGGGACTGCAACCTGAGCAAAACCGCAGAAGAGAAACGAATGCAGTCCGAGAACCCCCACATTAGGACCAGCCAAGGCCAAACCCGGCACAGAATCAACTGGGACTTCCGCCAAGTTACCAGGAACCTGAATCTGGCAGGCTGGGAAAAACCCAGAACCCCGGCTAAGACAAGCAGACCAACAGGGAGACCACACCAACCAGTCGTCGAGGCATGCTGCCAGCCAGGAAGACACTGGAACCTCGGAACGCACCCGAGCAGAAGAGGAGCTGAACTCAATCGAAACCGGAGACACGTAAACCTGGTCTAGCAGGAGGTATGTACCAAAGGCCTCCTGAACCATCGCAGGGATATGCCGAGAGGAAAACTTCAGAATAGATGAATCCAAGGAACCCAAGGGCACCCAGAAACGAACCTAAGGGGAAGGGAGCTTTGCCTTCCGCATTTGCCTGTGGATAAGACACACATTAGTGGTTTTTATTATTATTAATATTTTATTTAAGTATAAAAAGTGCCCAACAATCAACACTGTCATAATACAGACGGGAGACAGAGTACCGTAAGCTAGGGAGCTGGAGGAGCAAACAGGGCAAGGGCGCTAGGCACAAAATGGGTGCTAATAATGAAATACGTTCCAGTACTGAAAACAAGCCAAATTATTACCGAAAACAGCGTTACGAAGAAGAAAATATTGAAAACAAGCCGAATAACCAGTCTGTGAACACAAGAGTGAGGTAATAATATACAGAAGACTAGAGGCCAGCAATCTTGTCTTGTGTACAGTCTCGTACACAAGACAAGACTGCCCACCAGGAACACAAGACCGGGAGACATGACCACCAGCCTCTCAACAAAGAGGCTCAACAACCTTTGCTCAAATAGAACTAGGACCCAAGCAGGATCAAAAAGGAGCCCCAAGGAACCCCCACCCTTCCCCGAGTCTTGGGAATCCTCAACAAATGCCTCGGGACAGAGATCTCATCCACGCCCACCTTCCCTGAAGAAAAGGTGGAGTCCAGGGAAAGGCTTCCAAGAAGGGAGTCTGCTGGGTCAACTCAGAAGCCCCGGTAGAAAAACATGCTCAACTATCTTAGCGCCCGAATCAGAAAGTGCAGCCCCCGAAGCCACCCGAGCCTCATCCCGAACTAAACTCTGCCCTGACTCTGAAACCCTCAGACGATTGGGAGCTGGAAGCAGGGGAAAGGAGCAGGGCAAACCATGCCCACCTGGTAAGGAAGCATGGGTGCGGAAGGAACCAAGGTCGAAGCGACCAACGCCCCCAAATCCTGGTCCCTAAAACCCAAGCGAGGCAGCTCCAACTGGGCAACCAACCTGGCTCTGCATTAAGGAGAATCGAGCATGCAACACAGCCACTGCCTGATCCCTGAGATCAACAGACAAGGAATGAGGAAATTGAAGTACAAGCTGGGAACAAGTCCTGGGTCGTAGGTGTTCCCGACCCAACAGGCAACTTGACGGAGGCAGTATGGATGATCGTCTCCCTGAGGCAAGGGAGACGGACAACCTTCAACTTTGCATAAGGAGAGAGTGCGCTTGGAAGAAGTATCCATGGTACGACCAAGCCCACGGGGGGTTTGCCAGGGCTTATAGGGTGAATGAGTCCTACGGGAAGCCCAGGCATTGGGGCCAGGTAAGCCAGAAGAACTCTGTCAGATAGCAGGGGAACTGACCACTAGTACCTGTAGCAGAGGTGAGACCTCGGGGGCAATAGAGGACCACCACCAACACCACCTATGCTAGCTTAATAAGAAGCTAGGCAGACCACCTCCATCCACAAAAGGCAAAAATGTCAGGAAAGAAAAAGAAAACCCCTGAAGACACACACTACAAACAAACTGGCAGTCAGAGCAAAACATCGGCTGCTGCGTTGAAGTAAAGCAGTCTGTGCCAGCTGCAGTGGTCCCCACCCAGCCCATAACACTCCCCTACCCGAGGCAAGACGGAAAGCCTAAGACCCCCGACGTACCCCCAAGGGCAAAGACAACTTCAAGCAACGAAGTCCTTAAATGGGGAGTTATTCCCGAACGCCCCAGGGAAGATAACCCTGACACAATTTTAGTACTCACGGAGCACCTAAGGAAGGTCACCCCTAGGCTCGTGCGGCTCCTGTGCACTAAGACACCTGGCCACCACACCAAACACAGGAACAGCCACACAGGGCAAAAATCCAGAACAGGAACTTGAGGCCAGAAGTGACTGATCTGACCAACAGCACACCAGTTCAAGAACTAAGGGACATGGGGTTGCTAGCTCCCCCTTACCCTCTTCAGAGATGGGGGGGGGGGGGTAGCACTAACTAGGAGTGCTAGTTGGATGAAGTGTTGCTTGTTTTCTTTCTGTGAGTTCTTTTGCTCTTTTTGGACATAGGTCACAATTTTTACCAGATTGTGGTCTGTTTTGTTTCGCCTATCTTTCTGGGTGCCTTTCCCGGTCGATGACAATTATGACATACTGTACTTCAAATGTAAAGTGCTCATAGGCCATTGTTCCCTGTGCAATGGCCTGGCCCCAGAGTGGGGGGCCAGGTTCTGTCTCGTGGTCCCCGGTAGGCAAAGACTCCTGTGACTGATGACCCCAAAATAACATACAGTACACATGTCAGTTTGGATAATTTCAGGGAGCCAAATGGGGCTCCCTACAAAGGCTTTTAACAGAGTCCCACATAAGAGGTTGTTCTGGAAACGAGCATATTGGAGGGGTGACAGGAAGGTTTCTGATATGGATGAAAAATGTTCTGACAAAAATGAGGGCAGTAATCAGAGGCAATGTATCTGACTGGAGTGTTACTAGCTGTGAGTATACTGCAGGGTTCAGTTCTTGCACCAGTAATGTTCATTATATAAATGATGTACTAGAAGGAATACAGAATTATATGAACATGTTTACTGATGATGACAAGATACTAAACAAGATAAATTTATTCTGATTAAAAAAAAAAAGATATCTAGGGTTAGTCATCGATAAAAAAATAAAAAAACTGCCACCCAAGGACCACAAAGAACATTGTGCGAGGAGCACATGCTACGCTTTCCAGCTTTACAATCACTTTTAAATACATGGATGGCAAAATATTAAATTATTCATGACCTTTGTGAGACTAAAGTTGGAATATGTTGCAGTTGAATGGTGCCCATATTTTAAGACGTACATCTCTGAACTATAAAACGTGCACAGATATGCAACTAAATGGGTTCTAGAACTTAAATATAAGAATTACAAAGAAAGGTTAGAGGCATTAAATATACCAAAGCTAGAAGATAGAAGAAAAAAAGTGATATGATAACTGCTTACAAAATAGTAACAGGAATTTATAAAAAGTGACAAGAATTTGTTAAACCTACAACTTGATAGAATCTGTCATCTTGTTCTAAATGAAATAGCTGAAAAAACAAAGGTCACCTTTGCAGAGTGCTAGATGGAACAAGTTAAACGGTGGTGGTGGTGAAAGCCAAAGCCATCAGTGATTACAAAGCATTATATGACAGTGCTGGGGAGACGGGACACTATGACCTGTAACTACACTTTGGTAATTGCACTCACCCAAACTATGTATATGCATTTTAATAGTGATCTTGGCACTTACACGTCTTGCTTCCCGACCGTCCCTTGCGGTCACTTGTCTCTTGATAGAATTCTTGGTGAATTGGATACATTTGATGTCATTTGCCTTGTGGGTTTCTGTTCTCATATTGGCTTTCTTAGTGATATTTAGCAACCTATGGATATCCCACACATTTGATGGTGCTACATAGCCTTCCCAGCTTGGTGCCTTCTTTTGATAATTACTTACTCTGTTACTGGAAAATGAGAGATCATAAGCTTTGCTTGTCACCTCTAGGGTCTTGACTGTTTACCCAAGACTTGATTCTTTTAGAGAACTGAAAGCCAAGAGAGGTTAAAACTCATGATCTATATGTCAATTCAGAAAAAGGCAATATCCATAAGTATACTTGGCAAGGGCTAATCATTCTTGATGTAACTATCAACACAATTTACAATACAGCACTTCTAGAGCTTGGCAGGTGTGGAACAGAACGCTCAAACATTTTCTAAAGCACTTTAACTATACGAGTCTTGTGGAACTACTACCACCAGAATTGAAGTACTGTACATCTTGTTACACCACCAGCGGAATAACAGCCTGAGAAACTGCAACCTAATTTATGTAAGTGGATGATGACCGTCATCAAGAGTAAAACTGCTTCCGTTTAGAAATCCAGTGCTCCATGTTAACACACTCATGGGCCAGTCTTTAGTCTAATTGACTCTTAAATACTTGAAAACAATATTCAATAAGAATGTTTTTTCTTAATTAAAGGCTGCAATTGAATAATGTAAGACAAATAACAGTATTTTTACAAAATGGAAAAAAAAGAGCATAATGTACAAATTTTAAAATTAAATATTTTCAGAGTTGTGAATATTTATCCCTTTTTATTGTATACCAATTGAAATAGACATTTATTTATGTAGTATGCCCCCCCCCTACAAAGGCAAAATTATCTCACTTGCATGGTCCCATGAGTGAGACTGGCTAGTCCAGGTTCTGGAGTCATATGCCTAATTTAGCTAGACACTTTAAACTAGTTGGAAATTTAATAGTTGGCGAGGATCACATTATACCCTGGTAATTAGCCTTAATTGAAACACTTCCTACATAGAATTAATCTTGGCTGTTATAAATTACTGTATTTGCTTTTCTGCACAATTTACCAACATTATATTAGTGCATAACTGTGCAGCATTGTAAATGCATAATTTGCTAAAGTATTTATGGTAATTGGTAAGCAATTTTAATGTATAATACTTGAAATTTCATAGAGATTGAGGAATTGAAATTTAAATCCATTTAAATTCCTATTATATAATAAAACTGTTCTGTATCACTAGTTTCACTATCTGCCATCTACAACAAACTTAAGTCCTGCACAAGTAGAATACCCCCCTCCTCCCCCACCTCTCAATATTTGAGATGCCATCATGTGCTTGATAAATGTTTTCTGTGCCAATTCAAGTGCCCAAGAATTCTATTGAAGGCCGAATTCAAGAATTCGGCCTTGAGACCAATGCATCAAGGAACCACAAAAAGTTAAAAATGATTTATGGCAAGCACTTGAGAGCTGCGGCTAGCATTACTGGTCATTAGAATCTGATTCAGGTGATTTAAGAGTTGCGTGAGGTGAGGGGAGCACTGTGTGCGTGTGTGTGTACTCACCTAGTTGTACTCACCTAGTTGTGTTTGCAGGGGTTGAGCTCTGGCTCTTTGGTCCCGCCTCTCAACCGTCAATCAACAGGTGTACAGATTCCTGAGCCTATCGGGCTCTGTCATATCTACACTTGAAACTGTGTATGGAGTCAGCCTCCACCACATCACCCCCTAATGCATTCCATTTGTCAACCACTCTGACACTAAAAAAGTTCTTTCTAATATCTCTGTGGCTCATTTGGGCACTCAGTTTCCACCTGTGTCCCCTTGTGCATGTTCCCCTTGTGTTAAATAGACTGTCTTTACCCTATCAATTCCCTTCAGAATCTTGAATGTGGTGATCATGTCCCCCCTAACTCTTCTGTCTTCCAGCGAAGTGAGGTTTAATTCCCGTAGTCTCTCCTCGTAGCTCATACCTCTCAGCTCGGGTACTAGTCTGGTGGCAAACCTTTGAACCTTTTCCAGTTTAGTCTTATCCTTGACTAGATATGGACTCCATGCTGGGGCTGCATACTCCAGGATTGGCCTGACATATGTGGTATACAAAGTTCTGAATGATTCTTTACACAAGTTTCTGAATGCCGTTCGTATGTTGGCCAGCCTGGCATATGCCGCTGATGTTATCCACTTGATATGTGCTGCAGGAGACAGGTCTGGCGTGATATCAACCCCCAAGTCTTTTTCCTTCTCTGACTCCTGAAGAATTTCCTCTCCCAGACGATACCTTGTATCTGGCCTCCTGCTCCCTACACCTATCTTCATTACATTACATTTGGTTGGGTTAAACTCTAACAACCATTTGTTCGACCATTCCTTCAGCTTGTCTAGGTCTTCTTGAAGCCTCAAACAGTCCTCTTCTGTTTTAATCCTTCTCATAATTTTAGCATCGTCCGCAAACATTAAGAGAAATGAATCGATACCCTCCGGGAGATCATTTACATATATCAGAAACAAGATAGGACCGAGTACATCCGAGGACCGAGTGTGTGTGTGTGTGTACTCACCTATTTGTGCTTGCAGGGGTTGAGCTTTGACTCTTTGGTCCCGCCTCTCAACTGGTGTACAGGTTCCTGAGCCTATTGAGCTCTATCATATCTACATTTGCAACTGTGTATGGAGTCAGCCTCGACCACATCACTGCCTAATGTATTCCGTTTATTAACTACTCTGACACTAAAAAATTATTTCTAATGTCTTTATGGCTCATTTAGGCACTCAATTTCCACCTGTATCCCCTAGTGCGTGTGGTGTGGGGCAGTACTTCTAGGAGAGGTACAGTACTTCTAGGTGTGGGGCAGTACTTCTAGGAGAGGTACAGCACTTCTAAGTGTGGGGCAGTACTTCTAGGTGTGGGGCAGCACTTCTAGGTGAGGTACAGCACTTCTAGGTGTGGAGCAGTACCTTCTAGGTGTGGGGCAGTACCTTCTAGGTGTTGGGCAGTACCTTCTAGATGTGATACAGCACTTCTAGGTGTGATACAGCACTTCTAGGTGTGATACAGCACTTCTAGGTGAGGTACAGTACTTCTAGGTGTGGGGCAGCACTTCTAGGTGAGGTACAGCACTTCTAGGTGTGGGGCAGCACTTCTAGGTGTGGGGCAGCACTTCTAGGTGAGGTACAGCACTTCTAGGTGTGGGGGCAGTACCTTCTAGGTGTGGGGCAGCACCTTCTAGGTGTGGGGCAGTACTTCTAGGTGGGGGGAAGTACTTCTAGGTGTGGGGCAGTACCTTCTAGGTGTAGGGCAGTACCTTCTAGGTGTGGGGCAGCACCTTCTAGGTGTAGGGCAGTACTTCTAGGTGGGGGGAAGTACTTCTAGGTGTGGAGCAGTACCTTCTAGGTTTAGGCCAGCACCTTTTAGGTGTGGGGCAGCGCCTTGTAGGTGTGGGGCAGTACTTGTAGGTGTGGAGCAGTACCTTCTAGGTGTGGTACAGCACTTCTAGGTGAGGTACAGCACTTCTAGGTGTGGGGCAGTACCTTCTAGGTGTGGGGCAGCACCTTCTAGGTGTGGGGCAGTACTTCTAGGTGGGGGGAAGTACTTCTAGGTGTGGGGCAGTACCTTCTAGGTGTAGGGCAGTACCTTCTAGGTGTGGTGCCCCCTTCGAATTTCAGGACGACTTTTTAACCTCCTGTTTTGAGCGATTTGGGACAGTGTTAAGTGTTCGTTGGAACAAGGTCGTTGCCGGGCACTGTGTTGGTATGCTTGACGGCTCCCGCACCCTGACAATGTCGCTGAAGTGTAAGTGTACCGTCGTCGATGTCCGTGTTGGGTTACACGCTCCGCTGCCAGTATCGGGGTCAACCGCGCACCTGTTATCGGTGTGGTCACGAGGGTCATCTGGCTGCGGCGTGCGACGTGGGAGCGACTGGTCGTGTGCATGTTCTTCGTGCGGAGGATTTTCCGCCCTTGTTACGTTCGGACGGTGTGGGTGCTGTGCCTGAGGCGCCTGATTGCCTGTCTGTTGCTCCGCCTGTTGAGGCGAGTTCTACGGCCTGTGCGACACGTCTGGTGACTGCTGTGGCCCCTGGGGTTGTTGAGCCGGTGTGGGACAGTGTTAAGACTGTCCCACACCGTGGGACAGTCGGGCCGTCGCCTGAGCTGCGAGTAGTGCAGGATGTCCCGGTGGAGGTCCATGTCCCGCCCCCGCCTGTGGATGTGATACCGGCTCCTGGGAACGCGGGTTCTTCTGTTTTAGAGGGGGTGCTTCGGCAGGGGGAGGTGCCTGCCGTGCCTGTGTGTTGGTGACTGTAGTTCTGCTCTTTCCATCCCTTTGCAGAAGCGCGCGCGTGGGTGCTCTGAGGCTGTTTCCCTGGATGATGTGGACAGTGTGGGTGATGTGGCCTCTGTGGACTCTTCGGACGGTGCAGGTGTGGCCTGTGTGGATGTGAAGATGGTGGCCGTGCCTGCGGCGGGGCCTGCTGGGAGTGGTGTGGTGCGACCTGCCTTCGGCGTTCGCGGCGGGCTCGGAGTGTGTCTCCCCTTCGTGGTGTGCCTTGGGAGGAGGTGGGGGAGTATGGTGATCTGGCGCCCCCCGCCGTGGATGATGGTGCTGTGAGGGGGCTACAAAGTTGCTACCTTTGCCTCTCCTCCTGCGTCTCCTGCTGTTGGATCTCCGCAGTGGGGGGTTGTCCCCTGATGATCGGGACCTCGTCGTGATGTTGCGGAAAGATGTGCGCCGGGGGGCCTCGGCTCCTGTGCCCGGTGGTGGAGTCGCTGCCGCGCCTGCATCTCCTGCTGTATCCCCTCCTTCCTTGCTCCGGTCTGGGGGTTGCCTAGTCCCGTCTGCTGGGGTCGTGCCCTGTGAGGGTCCGGTGTACTCACCTATTTGTACTCACCTATTTGTGCTTGCGGGGGTTGAGCTTTGGCTCTTTGGTCCCGCCTCTCAACTGTCAATCAACTGGTGTACAGATTCCTGAGCCTACTGGGCTCTATCATATCTACATTTAAAACTGTGTATGGAGTCAGCCTCCACCACATCACTGCCTAATGCATTCCATCCGTTAACTACTCTGACACTAAAAAAGTTCCTTCTAACGTCTCTGTGGCTCATGTGAGTACTCAGTTTCCACCTGTGTCCCCTTGTTCGCGTCCCAGGTGGTGTGGGGTGTGGGGGGGGGAAGGTGTGGGGCCCTTATCGGGACGCCCGAGTGCTTCCGATCCCATAGTGCTCGTCCACTGTCTGGGTGTCGCGAGTGAAGGAGTTTGTGTATAGGGTGCCGGATAGGATGTCTCAGCCGAGGGCGCTGCCTGGTGGCCGGCTGCCTGCTGACCTGCGGGTGATTTGGGAAGCGTATTGCTTGCGCTTTCCGATACACAAGTTTCCGGAGAAGTATTAGTTCCCGTCTTGCGCACACTGCTAAGCCGTGCGTGGGTCAGATGCCACCGTGACCACGACACCCCGCCCCCCGGTGCAGGGTGTCTCCCTCTAACGTTCGCCTTTGTTTTCGTCGCCTCTCCTCTCTCTACGGCCCATCACATCTACCGCTTTTGACTTTCTTCTCCTCCTAACCGTCAACGCGTCTCCTTACGTCTTTCCTGGTGCAGTCATCGGGAGGGTTAACCCTTCATGCAAACTGCACCTATTCTCAAGAAGAAGAAGATATATCATAATCAATGATGTTCATAGATTTAGACCTTCTCCAGAGGGTTTGCTTAGCTATCAAAGCTCATTAAACTATGTTTCGTCCATCTAGTTCCCTTTTTTATTTATTTCCCCTTTTTGGCACATATTTTTTGAACGAGTTCAGGAATGACCCATTATTTATTTCCATTTAGGCTTATATCAAGGTCCCTTGGTGTTGGTATAGTATTGTAAGTGTTTGCTGGGGGCAAGTTGGATAGCGAGTGTTTGCTGGGGGCAAGTTGGATAGCGAGTGTTTGCTGGGGGCATGTTGGATAGCGAGTGTTTGCTGGGGGCAAGTTGGATAGCGAGTGTTTGCTGGGGGCATGTTGGATAGCGAGTGTTTGCTGGGGGCAAGTTGGATAGCGAGTGTTTGCTGGGGGCATGTTGGATAGCGAGTGTTTGCTGGGGGCATGTTGGATAGCGAGTGTTTGCTGGGGGCAAGTTGGATAGCGAGTGTTTGCTGGGGGCATATTGGATAGCGAGTGTTTGCTGGGGGCATGTTGGATAGCGAGTGTTTGCTGGGGCCATGTTGGATAGCGAGTGTTTGCTGGGGGCA